TGCCTGTAATCCCAACTACTCAGGAGGCTGAGGCAGGAGAATTGCCTGAACCCAGGAGGCGGAGGTTGCGGTGAGCCGAGATCGCGCCATTGCACTCCAGCCTGGGTAACAAGACTGAAACTCCGTCTCAAAAAAAAAAAGAGAAAAAAAAGGAAATAAGATCGAAACAGCTCCGTCTCAAAAAAGGAAAAAGTGCCTGTATTCCTGATACATGCTTATTATTATTATCTAGAAGAATGCCCATTCTACAAAGGCAGGAAGTTTTGTTTGTATTGCTCTTTGATGTATTCTCAACAATTAAAACAATATCTGCCACAGAAAAGTGCTCAACAAATATTTGTTAATTGTTGATTAAATTGTTATTATTACTAAGACCTCTTGCAGCTCTTTCATGAAGTTATGAACCTGCACAAAAGGAACTTAGCAAAATGCCTTAAGGAGAGGGATGTTCTTCATGTTGATACTAGACACCCATGTCTTCTCTAAAGAGTACATTTACCCTCCTTTTACCTAGATATTGTTACTCTCAGAAACTAGTACACAAGAAATCTCCAATGCTTAGCTCTTTCAGTCCTGTCTCCCTTACTAGACTATAACTTCCTGGAAGGCAGGGAATGTTTTTTCTGACCTTTTTTTATTTTTGTAAATCCTCAAACTACTTAGTGTGTACTCAGACTGGTGAACTAGCATAATGCCTGGATCATAGGTACCTAATAAGTTCCACTAAGACAGGGACTCAAGAGAGGAAGAAGATTTGGTCAAGAGTCCCCACTGCCCACATGAGAAAACCCATTGAGGAAGAGGAATCAATTATGTTGGGAGCCATGCATCCCTTCCAAAATCATCCTCTGCCTCTGCCTAAGCAACTTAATGAGGCCTTGAACATATTTCCTGGGTTGTTCTGGGAATAGACTTAAAAGAGGCAGCCTAGAAGAATAAGTATATTTTACTCATGTATATTATTCATATTAAAGCCTATTCAGGAAACTCTTTTTAGGGGACTTATGAGGTCCAGGCACCATACTAGGTACTGGGAAGGATGCTGGGGAAGATGCAGAAATAAAACACATGAATGGTGCCAGTCCTCAGGGAGCAAATGATCCTGTACGTTCTAGATCATAGAGACAAGCATGTGCACAATAGCTATAATAATAGTAGTAGTTTACATCATTAAGAACTAACTACATGTCAACCGGGCATGGCGGCTCACGCCTATAATTGCAGCATTTTGGGAGGCCAAGGCGGGCAGATTACAAGGTCAGGAGTTTGAGACCAGCCTGGCCAATATGGTGAAACCCCATCTCTACTAAAAATACAAAAATTGGCCAGGAATGTTGGTGCGTGCCTGTAATCCCAGCTACTCAGGAGGTTGAAGCAGAATAATTGCCTGGGAGACAGAGGTTGCAGTGAGCCAAGATCGCACCATTGCACTCCAGCCTGGCTAACAGAGCGAGACTCCATCTCAAAAAAAAAGAACTAAGTACATGTCAAGCACTGTCTCAAAAGCTTTACCTACATGATGTAACTTCATTTTCACATATCTCTGAGAGCTCAGTATTCTCATTACCCCCATTGGAGAGAGGAAGAAATGGAGGCGTATAGAGGTTAAGGAAGAGCTGTAAATAGTAGAGCTGACATTCATACATGGGTAATCTTACTCTAACACCATGTACTCATAAAAAGTGGTAATAATTAAGAAAACAAGGCTGGAGCAGTAGCTCATGCCTGTAATCCCAGCACTTTGGGAGGCCAAGGTGGATGGATCACCTGAGACCAGGAGTTTGATACCAACCTGGCCAACACGGTGAAACCCCCCTCTCTACTAAAAATACAAAAATTAATCGGGGGGCGTGGTGGGCACCTGTAATCACAGCTACTCGGGAGGCTGAGGCAGGAGAATTGCTTCAACCCGGGAGGCAGAGGTTACAAGTGAGCTGAGATCATGCCACTGCACTCCAGCCTGGGCAGTAGAGTGAGACTCTGTCTCTAAAAAAATAATAATAATAAATAAATAATAAATTAAGAACAGATTAGTTTTTCTTTTACTCTGGTCTTCTTTGACTCAAAAAATATCATTTCTTCTTTCCTAACCTTTTACAGCCATATGAGGAAGTAGATTTACCCATTTTTTCTGAAAAGGAGTTTGAGATACTGCACCACTCTCACAAAATCATATACTACTGGGAATGCCTCTCTTTCTCGCTCTTTGAGACAAGGCCTGGGTGAGTCTGTGACCCAGGCTAGAGTGCAATGGCACTATCTAATCATTGCAACCTCAGCCTCCTGGGCTCAAGCGATCCTCCCACCTCAGCCTCCCAAGTAGCTGGCATGTGACACCACATTCGGTTAATTTTTGTATTTTTTGTAGAGGTGGGTTTCAATATGTTGCCCAGGCTGGTCTCAAACTCCTGGGCTCAAGCGATCCTCCTACCTTGGCCTCCAAAGTGCTGGGATTACAGGTGTGAGTCACTGCTTTAGCGTTCGAAAATGACATCTCTTTGACATTCAAAAAAACTCTTTTAGGCACGGCGTGGTGACTCACACCTACAATCCCCACACTCTGGGAGGCCGAGGTGGCTGGATCACTTGAGGTCAGGAGTTTAAGACCAGCCAAGCCAACATGATTTAACCCCATCTCTACTAAAAATACACAAATTAGCCAGGCGTGGTAGCATGTGCCTGTAATACCAGCTACTCGGGGGCTGAGGCAGGAGAATTTCTTGAACCTGGGAGGCGGAAGTTGCCGTGAGCGGAGATCACACCACTGCCCTCCATCCAGCCCAGGCAACAGAGCAAGACTCCGTCTCAAAAAAAAAAAAAAATGTGAAATGTGTCATTTTTACCAGGGAGGGAAGCGGCATTGAGGAAAAGCAGGTTTTCTGGGAAAGACTTGGAGATGGGCACTCAAGAAGGTATTCTCAAAACTGTGAGCTGGGATCCAAGAAAGCGTGACTCAATTCAGCACCGTGGACAGAGCTCCGGAGTTCTCAGGACCCTGGACAGAGAAGCAGGCCGCACATTCCCGGGTAACCGAAATCCCATCACCAGACAACCCTCCAAGTGAAGCCAGAGCGTTCAATTCCCGTTTCCCTCCGTTTTTTTCAGCCAGACCTCAGCCACCTGCTCCTGAATCTTAGGAACAGAGGTACAGGGAGCGAATCTATTTTAAGAGCACTACTAACAGAGAGAGACAACGCCTTTGGCCGTTGTGCTAGGAGAACTCTTGAAAAATCTAAATTAGAGTCCTCAGTTGGGAGTGGGGCACTGCTAATAATATTTGTTAATGATATGTATTTTTTAGGCTGAGCAGCAAAGGGCCACAGCTGTCCTTTTTATCCCCCGAAGTCCCACCTCCCATTCCTTACGCTCAAGTTTTCGTTTCTTGGAGAGCACTCCGTAGGAGAGAAAGGGAAGTAATTTCTTGCAGTTTCTTGCTTTCCTCCTCATCTTCTCCCTCCCTACCCACACTCATCCGGTCTCTCTGAAATACACATGTGCCCACGCCCGCGCGTGCACACACACACACACACACACACACACACACACACATACAGAGCCACAGCATGAGAAGCCTAAGAGGTTCTGCACACTCGGTGTGCAGAAGAGATTGAAGACTGAATGCAGAGCTAGCGGATGCCCCCGAAAGCAGGCTCTGTCCCTTTAAAAGTGTTGTAGTGGTGGGGGAGGGGAACTGGCCGGAGCTGGCATTGTCCAGTTTGAACTGAGCACCGGAAGTGAAGGGGCAGGGCCAGGGCCGTGCACTGAGCCCCGGGCCATTGTCCATCTCCGACCAGGGCAGTAGCCACCCCCACTGGCCAGCCCTCATTATTTCCTAGAAGGGGAGGCCACCTCTTTAAATGAGGAGACCCCCCCCAGTCCAGTTCCTCCACCAACCCCACTATGGGGACGGCAGCGAATTTTAGGGTGGTGACTCTGAAACAAGGAGGGCCTGGGAATCTAAGAATTTGAGGCGTACAGAGGAAGTACCTCTACCCACCTACCCATCCCGTCCCTCTCCCAGCAGGGAATGGGGATCGGGTGGGGGTAGGATGAGAAGGCAGCTGGTGGAGAAACAGCTTCAAGGCTCTTTGGGTTCCTCCTGCTCTCCAGGGAGCTTACCTGGGGCTAACTTTAGACACACAGGTTTGGAGGGAAGAAAGAAGGAATAATTCTTTATAAAGAATCAACTGAGAGCACTTTCTCTTTTCGAACTGGGGGAGGCCCAGAAAAACTCCGAGTCGGAAACTCCGAAAGGCAGACACTCAGATGCAGTCAGTGGCAGACAGACTTTGGAAGGCAGCGCCTTGGTCAGGACAGATCAGTCCTGTATGTCCCTAGCCTCTCCCCTGCTCCCCCATCCCGGGCTTCCTAGTGTCCAGAACTCCAGGTCTGTCTAAGCACACAGGGGTGGGGGGTGAGAGCGGGTCAGCGCCAAGCAGCCGGGTCAGCTCAGAGGCCTTGAGGGGGAAGAAAGGGGGAGGGGCGCTCAAGGGCTGGGGGAGGGGGAGGGCCCATCCATTTCTCCCTTGACAGGTGGTTTGTGTTTCTGATTGGCCAGCGCCGCCAGGCTCACACCTCCCTCCCCCAACTCTCTGGAATGTATAATTATCTGCGCGGGGGGTGGGGGTGGTGTGTGACTGTGTGTGGGAGCAGTCACGTGGTTTTAAAACTACCCCCCCCACCAGGTCCCCCACCTGTATCTTCTTTGGGGACCCCTATTGAGTCCTAAGTGCAGGATCCCAAATTCCGGGGTACTCAAGACTTCTAGGACAGACAGCCCCATTTCCAGATGTGTGTATGGGGAGGGGGTGTCAAACCTCAAGGTTCTGGAAGGGACACCCCAGAGGTGTCAGAGACCCGAGCGGTGGGGGAGGGCCGGAGCTGGAGCCGGAGGGAAAAGGAGGGGAGAGAAGGGAGAGGGGAGGGGAGGGGGCTGCCCGCGGGGGGTTGGGTCATTGTCTTTTAGAATTTGGGAGCCTTTGAAAAGCCGTGGGCCCTCCCACCGCTATTGTGCGGGGGAAGATGTAGCAGCCTCTTCTCCGAACCACCCCTTTGCCTTCGGACTTCTCTGGGGCCAGCAGCCACCCGACCAGGGGCCCGGGGCCACCGGCTCAGCCGACTACCATGGGCTCCGTGTCCAACCAACAGTTTGCAGGTTCGAGCTTGGGACTTAGCGGGGACACCTTAGGATGCAGGGGCGGCCAGGAGCCACGTAGAAGGGAGGTGGGAAAGTGACCCCTAGGCTGCTCAAAGGACCCCAAGACGGTGCGGCCTCCTGCTTCATGGGGCCATCTCTGGAGGAAGGAACCTTGGTGTCCCAGTGGCGTGCGCGCCAGACTACGTGGGTGGATGGAGAAGAGAGGCCTGTCCCGCCTTGAGTCGCCGGGAAACACGTTATGGGGAGAGGAGCAAAACTTTCGGGGGCACCACTATCCCGGTGTACTCTAGGGGAGCGCGGGAGGCGACCGGGACAGGTTTCTTCTCTTCCGCTGCTTGGTAGCTTCCCCCTCCTAGTTGTCCACTTGTGGGGCTGGACACTCGGGTCTCCCTGCCCGGGGCCCGAGACGGCCCTCCGATTCGGTGCCCTCTAGCTGAGTGCCCGGACCTCCCTATCTCCAGGTGGCTGCGCCAAGGCGGCGGAAGAGGCGCCCGAGGAGGCGCCGGAGGACGCGGCCCGGGCGGCGGACGAGCCTCAGCTGCTGCACGGTGCAGGCATCTGTAAGTGGTTCAACGTGCGCATGGGGTTCGGCTTCCTGTCCATGACCGCCCGCGCCGGGGTCGCGCTCGACCCCCCAGTGGACGTCTTTGTGCACCAGGTGAGACTGATTCCGGTAACTTTGCCCGGGGAAGGGCATCTAGGCGCTCATGTCCATGGGTGGGCGCCGGGTTTGCTGTTGATTTGTGGGACATCAAGAGCCCTCGTTATGCGTCCCTGTCTTTGCCTGGGCACCCCAATTCTGAGTCCCTATTAACTATCTCGGGGGAAGTAATGGGAGGCAGCACCAATTATCAGCACCCCCGCCCCCTTCCGGGAACCCCTCCGGCTTACCACGTGTCTATTACCTCTTTCCCCTGGGAAGGGGCAGGGGGCAGGGAGGTGACCCCATGTGGCAGAAACTAAGGTTGTATTGTGCTTGCCGGTTGGGGGAGGGCGAGCAGGCCGGCCAGGGAAGCACACGCCAGGCCTAAGCCGGGCGCCCAGCGCCTCCAACGTCTGAATGGAGCTCAGAGGGCGGGAGAGAGTGAGGGCAACTGGCTACTGGACCCAAGGGGGCGTAAAGCCGAGAAGTCAGCCTCGCCCCCTTTTTAATGCAGACCTCACCCGGCTGGTCACTAAAAACTGGGTTTGGCAGATCCCTGAAGGATCCATTTGGGAGACTGAAAGCTCAGGACTTGGGTCTTTGCTATCCAGTTCCCATGAGGAAGGAAAACCCAAGGCCTTCCTTACGTCCCTGGGCCAGGCTGGGAGGGAAGTGGGTAGGTCGCAACCCCAAGTTCTCAGTTAAAGCAGGACAGCGCGGTAGGGGGTGAAATTCAGTGTCGCAGGGCAGGGGGTGGAGGAAGGCTGGCCTCTGGACCTATTCTCCGCTTGGCATTTATGGCCCCAGACAGCCATTGATTGCTGTCTTAACATTCCTGGCCTCAAACAAGGAGCCAGAGACTTCAGGTCTCCCTCCTCCCAGGCTTCCCCTTCCTGAATATCTTAGAGGCATTCCGGTGGTCCTAAGGCACCAGCTACCCATAAAGACCACGGAAAGGAAGTTGCTTGCTGCCTGTGGGCCTTCCATCTTTGGAGGTTTGGGGCTGGATCTGGAAAGAAGAAATTGCTAATCCCAGATCCTGTAGGTTGACACCCAGGCCGGGCAGGGAGGGGTTACTTCAGGGAGGCTGGCTTTAGGAGGTGTGGGGGAGGGGAAAGGAGGATGTGGGGATTAAGGGTTGGAGCCTGAGGGATGGCATTCTAGGGGGAGGGGTGGGGAAGGGAGATGCTGGGTAGACTGGTTGGAGGCAGCAGGGAAGTCTTTGAGCATAGCCTTCAGCGAGGAGCAAACAAGCGAGATGGAGGATGCAGGGAGATGGGGAGCCGCCACTTGCTTTTGGAGCCATGGAGTCAGTGGGCTACTCAAACATCTACCAAGAGGACCTGCAGCAGGATACTTAGCTGCCTCCTTGCAGCACCCTAATCCCCCCAACCCCCCATTAAACAGCAAGTTTCCCACTGGTGGCTTTTCTCCTTTCCCTGTCTCATTTACATATGTGAATGATAACCCACAGGAAGTAATTGTGGGAGAAAGAAGGGAATTGGCCTCTTTAGATCTATTAAATCACTTTATTACAGGAACCAGCTTTGAATGGCCCTCCTCAGCAGGGTAGCAAGCTTCCCCCACTCTCCCATTTATCTGATCACAAAGAGATTAAAATCTTTCCTGGTCTGGGGACTGGACAGCTCCTCCAACTTTGAGAGGCTGGAATAAAAGAGTCAGATCCAACATTTTCTCATCTCCCATCCAAAGCCTGCCAGATAGGGAGGGGCTGAGGGGAATGTATCCCCTCATCTTCTGGGGCTCCTTGGTGATATACATACCCCAAGGAAGGTTTTTTTTTTGTTGTTTTTCTGAGCAAATGGGGACTTGGGCCTCAGCAGGCTTTACCTTAGGATCTAGAGCAATCGGGAAACTGTTGGGTGGCATAGAGCAGGCGTTGAGTCTACAATATGCTGGGTCAGGTGTACTGGCTGGCTTGGAAATACTCTGGATTTTAGGGTCTTGGAGCATCCAGGAACCCACAGTTGAGTATATTATCAAGAGGGAGCTGAGCTGGGAGAGAATTAAGAATTTGTAACCCTCAGCTCTTCCCATTCTACTCATAAAGCACGACGATGGGTGGAAATTCCCTGAGCCTTTACTTGGTAGCTCTGATAATGGTGGCATGCAGGGGAGGCTTGGTTCAGTGGTCCTCCAACCCCACCTTAGAGGTAAGTTAGACTAGTGATTCTAGTCTTTGCACTTGAGAAATTAGAGATAACTCTCTGGAAATCTAAAGGTAAAGGGGTTTAGTAAACACAGGATAAATTGTTAACTGGGGGAGAAAAGTGTTCCCGAAGCAAAGAATAAGAAATCTTTAACAAAACTTCCCATTATTTGGCTACTGGGGTTGGGCACCCTGGGGTTGGGGTGGGCTGGTGAGAAGGTAATTGTCCTAAGACAGCATCTACCAGAGGGAGGGGGTCGGGGAGCCCCTTTGCAACTAAAGAGGAAGGGGGAAAGGCAATTTAAAAACATTTCCTTTCCAAAGTTGGGATTATTAGAATCCCAACGCCCTGTTCACTAACGCTCTTATGCTCTCTCCCAATTGGATATAATGCTGTAATATCCTCAAGTGTAGCTGAGTGGAATAAAAAGCCCACTCCCTAGCCAAAAACAAACAAAACAACAACAAAACATAAAGCAAAGAGATTTCTCTAACAACTCTTTTCCTTAGGTATACATCTTTAGATCTAGAAATCTGCCTGTCTCTAGAGTCAGTGAAAGAAATAGCAAGCCCTTCAATTAGGTTTTCTTGACCTCAGCACTACTGATATGTTTTGAGCAGGATAATTTGCTCTGGGGAGTCTGTCCTGTACATTATGGGATGTACAGCAGTATTCCTGGCCTCTACCCACTAGAAGCCAGTTGCATCTCAGTTGTGACAACCAGAAACATCTCCATACATTGTCAAATGTCCCCCTGGGAGTCAAAATCTCATCCCTGCTTGAAAAGCACAGTTATACAGGAGCTGGAATAAAAAAGCTAAACTGTCAACTATTTTCCTGAGATTCATCAAAGATTCAAAAATCTTCATTTTGGGCCATTTTCAAGAGTTTTGGCTTAAGTCGTGTTTCCTGTGGCTCAATTTTCAAACTCTCCAGACCTGTAGAAATTTGGAAATAGGAAAAATTCTGTGCTTTCCCATTGCTCCTCAGGACCCAGATATGTTTAAATTGCTTTCTAGCTAAAATGCTACATTAGAAGAGTTGGAGTTCAAAGAAAATCCCAAATTTGTCCAAGGGACCAAGTTGGGTTAGGAGAAAACAATACCTAGACAAACTGCTGAAACTGCCCTGAAGCCATGTGGCCTGCTTTTTCTGAAAGCCATGAGTGAGGAGGTAGGAAGAGCAACCTTATTCAGGGTCTAGGTTAGGATGGGTTTGGTTGGTGGTGGGGGTTGCAGGGGCGGATGGTGGAATAGACGGGATCTCCTGATTTGTGACAGTGCACCTCTCTGATTACTCAACACATGTCTAGTTATTGATGTACTGGTCTTACACTCCTCTCTATGTAACCCATAAGCTCTTTGCAGGGAAGAACTTAACTGCCTGGTTAATTTTCCAGTATGCACTTGGTGGGCTGAAGGAATGCATAAAAAAAGGGGCATCTTGAGGAACCTGGTAAATTAGAAATACACTTAGCAGTCTGGGGTCCATGTCGGCAGAGGTCTTTGTCCAGAGAAAAAACTATAGAGATGGAGGGGTGTTAACTGTAGCTGTGTGCTTCCTGGGCTGGCTAGAATATGGCCTGCACACAACATAGCACTATGAGGGTTTGTGGAGTGAATGTCGGTAGATCACAACTCTGAGCTCAGAGAGGATTCTCTTGTTTTTGTTGATAAATTGGAAGCCACAGATTTAGTGGCCATCCATGAGTTATTTCTGTCTTAATAGGAAAAGGCAGCTTAAAAATAAACTGACTTGATTTTTCAGAAAGTTGGCAGAGAGGTAGGAAGGTTAATGAAGACATTGTGGAATCTTCTGGGGTCCTCCTCTTTCCGAGACATGGTTCTAGACAATGTCTTAAGTAAAGGCCATGCTGCCATCCTGAACAAAGCTTCAAATATGGAAAGTTTCTACCCCGTGGTTGTTGACATTGCTGCTTGCCTTATACATGGTTTTCAGTGACATTCACCAAGGCCATTTAGTTTCTTGAACATTTCTAATCAAACAATCATACTCTAATGTAATTGTTTTTTGGATTAACTGCCCTAAGTAAAATTACTCCTCCTGTCTTCCTGCAGGCATGAATAGCAACCACTGCCCATAAACACAGTCAGTCTGGGAGGTCAAAGGAGTTGGGGGAGAATACATAGTTGATACAGACTTATTTAACATAATTTCAGCGTGGAGTTATTTAATTTAGACATGAAACTAAAATCCAGGGTGAGTACTTGGCTTTCCTAAGCAGTAGAATATAAGAACTGAGTTTCTGGTCTTAAACTCTAGGAACCCTTCATTCTTAACCTTGATTGAGCAGGTGGTTGGGTGGGGGCAGACTGGGACAAGGAAGACAAGATGACTGTCCTAAGGAGCTGTGGAGAGACATCTGCCTGAAAACTTGGATTCACAGCTCAGAACCAGGTAGCTACTCAATCCCTCCTGGTCTAGGCTCCATCTGGCTTGCCTTTGGGCAAACAGGCTGAGCAGCGCCATCTGGTGGAGAACTCTACGCAGGTGCTAGAGGGCCTGGCTGTGGCTGAGCAGAGATCAGAGGGATTCGGTTCCAGACACCCCTTTCACCACCCTCCTTGACACACACACCATCCAATCAATAACTGCTCTGGGAGAGCCGGTTGGTTTCCTAACCCTTACCAAATCTTACCTCCAGGAATGAAGTTAAGATAGAGCTGTGACATCACAGGACTGAGTCATTAAAATTATTTTCATCTGCTGCTTTTTTAAATGTGACTACTAGAAAGTTTTCTTTCTTTTTTTTTTTTCAGATGGAGTTTCACTCTTGCTGCCCAGGCTGGAGTGCAGTGGTGCGATCTCGGCTCACCACAACCT